CGGAAAACCACCTAAATAGTATTTTATAGGCAGACAGGGTCTTCCACACATATAAGAAATCTAAAGGGATGATGTTAACAAGGTCTTCCAAACAAAGATTATCTTTACAGATATTCGAGACGGCCTTCAAAACATATAAAACCTTGAAGTGGATTTCTAAAGGATTTTCCATATTTTCCTTTAAAGAAACTTGAAGATAAAACTGCCAAAGATTGTCTGATTCTATATATAAAAAACATACTGTAGGAATCATATTGATCTCTTATAGATGGGAACCATCGTACATAGATGGAACAAAATGTGATGCTTCAAAATCTGTGCAGGTCAGAGGCCTTAACGGTTTAACTGTGGTTTACCTTTAGCTGTCGAGTCTGTGGAAAGAGGTAATTTTTGCAACTTCATTGTGGAGCCAGGTCTACATAAATACAAGGCGGATAATCGAAAGGTCAATTAATCATGAAATATCCTCTATCTAAATAAATACAGTAAAGTAGGGCTTAATTACATCAAAGGTAGATCAGTGGTTCACACTCAACACAAGGTGGTCGGATAAAAAAACAATTTCATTTAAAAAGACTCTTTCATACCCGACAATTTTGGGTCCAATACAATTCGAATTCCATGTGAAAAGCTTCAAACACAATTTCGTTGGAAAATTAAAAGATGATATTGTAAATAGGATTTATGAAAGGTATGAAGGGTGGTTTGGAAGGACGGAGAAATGGATAGGTAATTATAAGGCTAGAGAGAGAGAAAATTACGATTTTTCTTTAGAATATAGGTTAGGTTCAGTTTCAATTTTTGCTGATTTTTTTATAAGTTGGTTTAAAACACAATGTTAAATGTTCGACTACAAATGGAATGAGTTACAATTGTTGTTGTTGTTCTTGTTAATTTTCAATTTCTTACATTAGGGTAAATAGAAAATAAAAAAAAAAACATAGATTTTAAAATTAAAAATTTACTTTTAAAGTAATTTCATAGTGTGTGTGTGATTTCTTGTTTTCATTGGTATTTTCTTTTTCACTTTTTAAGGTAAAGGTGTTGGTTTTTTTGTTTTTAAAGATTAGTTAGAGCTATCTAAAAATGTATAAGTTACAAGAGTTAGACAGTTAGAATTTAAAGGATAGAGAGACAGACAGATAGTTAGAAAAGAGAAAATACAGTATTAGAATTAGAGGGAGAGAGAGCGATAGACAATAGAGATTTTTTTGGTTTATAAAATTGTATCTTATGATTTTCTTTTAATTTGTTTTTCTTTTTTTTAATAAATAATGTGTTGATTTTCTATTTTTCTTTATTTTTTTCTATTTATTTTTTCTTTCTTTTAATTTTCTTGTTTTTTATTGGTTTGGTAATTTTTCTTTATTTAACTTCATAAATGTGATTTTATTATTTTTGTTTTGTATTTCTGTTGGTATGTTGATTTTTGTTTTGCGGGGAAAAAATGTTTTCGAAAAATGTTTTTAAAAATTAATTTAAATGTATTTTTTGTTGTGTTTTTTTTATTATTATATTTTAGTTTTTTTGTTTTGTTTTGATATATGCTAAAAAATATTAAGTAATTATTTAATCGTAATTTGCATTACAGTTGCTGTTGCTTGGTTGTTGTTGCTGTTTTTATTGGTTGTTGTTGTTTTCAATGTTTTACCTAACACCTAAAAAAATAAAGAAAATTTATATTAGATTAATAGATATCAATTTTATGATGTTATGGAGTTCACAAAAATCAAAAGAAATACTACCGAGGACTCCCAACTAAACCTATCGAAAGCATTAAACCTGACAAGACTTTTTTTATCTACGTCTGGAACGATCAGCAGCTTCCTCAAGGGTACTAATGGGGGAAGGAGAAAGTCCGGTTAAATATTATACGAAATATAACACGGACATATATTCATAAAAAATCCCCATACCTTAAGCCATGATAGTGCCTGCCTATGAATATTCATAAAAGTTCTATCCTCATGAAGCTTTGACATAACTTTCTTATAAAATGGTCGACCACCCAAAAAAAAAAAAAAAATATTCCGCGAAAGAATTTCCTTGTTTTTGTAGGGTCCTAACGGCAATATCCTTTCATCCACAACAGATACAGCCACATACATCGCATTTTTGGAAAAGTCTGTCATTAGAGTCCGGATTGCGAGGGACAACAATGGACCCAAGTTGGTCTTTTAGTGAGTTTTTCAAAAAACATCGGAATTCAAAACCGAGTTTATTTAGTAACTCTCAAACGATTTGAGATAACCCCTTCATATCACCATTCATAAGCCTTAAAATTTTATACATTAAACGGGTACCCTTATCCGAACTTCCGGGTCAAACAGCCGGGTACGTCCCCCAAGAAAAAAAATATATACCCATAATTATGGTAAAAATAACTACCTCTGGAAAAAATCAGATCGTTTTTAATAAACTAGATTTGTTCCGCTGCTGCTATACTTGCTGTACGAGCCTACTCCTAAACTGCCACCAATTCGGTCTTGAGTTCATGAAGTTTAAGTTAAAAGTCATGTCAAATAGTTCTGGCCATTATTTGATAACGCCTATGGCTTATAAGCGATTCGAACGTAATATTTTTTCCAGTCTCTTCATCTTTCCGATGGGTCTCGTTCAATGTGGACTTTCAATATCTGGATGAGCGAACGAACTGAGCCTAGCACCGATCGTTCCATTTGCGGAATAGTTCTGTTGAACTAGTTTGTTTCGCAACGTTCAATGAATGCAAAAATCTAGATGAACGATTGAATCAAAATGAACTAGAACAGGACAAAAAATGAACTAAACGAACGAAATAACCTGTCCGATTGTTCCCTTTTATTTTTTCTTTTTTAAAACGGCTATATCGACGGTATGTAAAAGTCCCCAAAACAGTTCTGGCCTTTATGATGTCTCCTACGGCCTTAAAGCGATTTTTTCCAGCCTCTTCAGCCTTTATATTTAAGTCTTGTTCAAAGTTGGGCCGTTGAACTAGTTTGTTTCGCAAAGTTCAATGAACGGAAAAATTTAGATTGAATCAAAATAAAATAGGAGAACATGACAATGATTTACGCCCGGCGCAAAATTAACTAGATGAACGAATGAACCTGTCCGATAGTTCCTTTTTATTTTTTCTAGCCTCTTCATGATTTACCTTTAGGTTTCGTTCAAAGTGGGCGATCAATGGAGTTGACAATTACAAAATGAATAATAATTTAGTTCCATAGTTCATTGTTAATCTACTCGTTTAGTTAGATGAGCGATTGGATCAACGGGATTGGTACACGGAAGCCATTTGAACTGGATGATTGAAAGAACGGGCCTAGGCCGATCGTTCCTTTTGCCAATAAACGGAAAAATCTAGATGAACGATTGAATCAAAATGAACTAGGAGGACATGACAACAATTTACGACTGTCGCAACATGAACTAGATGAACCAAAAGATCGGTCCGATGTTCCTTTTGCGGAATAGGTCTTTATACAAGTTCGTTTTGGAATAGGGATAAGATAAAGTCAGAAAGGACCTCTCAGAGACCTTCAATGCCGAAGGAGAAGTCAGGCAAGGTGACAGTTTGTTGTGTGACCTGTTTAACATCCTGCTGGAATGGGTCATACTAGATGCAAATGTGAACAGAAATGGTGGTCTGTACACCAGACAGCATAAGTTACTCGCCTACGTCGAACATTGCGAGCGGCAACATCCACTTTTGAACGACATCCACTTTTGAACCTCGCTACCGCCATAAACAAAACTAATAACATCAGCTTTGAAATCCGGAGAAGAATAGTGTTGGCCAACAGTCTATGTAAGCAATTTAGAAAGAAAGCCACCTCCCGCCAGACCAAACTCACACACTTCAAGACGATGATACTACCCGTGATGTTGAGTGGATCGCTGATCAGATGAGGCAGCTCTTGGAGTGTTTGAGAGAAAAATTCTCTGGAAGATATATGGGCCGATCTGCGTCGAATGAACCATGAGCTGTACCATCTATTCTCGGACATCGACATATCAAACGTATCGACCTGCAGCGACTACAGAATTGATGAGGATTTCCCAGCTAATGGTTCACGCAAAAAGGGAAGGCCACTACAGCTTCGAGGTAGTGAACAATTTTATATACCTGTGTACAACCATAAACAAAACTAATAACATCAGCTTTGAAATCTGGAGAAGAATAGTGTTGACCAACAGCAGATGAGGCAGCTCTTGGAGTGTTTGAGAGAATAATTCTCCGATCTTCGGCGAATGAACCATTAGCTGTACTATATATTTTCGAACATCGAAATATCAACCGTATCGACCTGCAGTGACAACATTAGCTAGGTCATGCTGTTAGAATGGATGAGGATTTCCCAGCTGATGGTTCACGCAGAAAGAGAAGGCCAATGACATCCGATGGAAAGATCAAGTCCTTTCTAATCACACATCTTCACGGTAAATATCTAGAATTTCCAATTTGTACTATGTAAAAATAATTTTTTTTCGACTTCAACGATAATCTAATTTAAAATAAAAAAATTTTAAATGCGACTTACCTTTCACAACACTTATTTTATGATGCAGACAACTGTAGAGCGAGATTAAGAGAGATAGACCCCGTTAAAGAGCTTCTTAAGTACATCGTGATGAATGAAATTGGAAGTCACAGAGAGCGAGATGCGAGAGTATAATTAGCACATCTCAGTTTTATGAATTTGTTGTTGCTTTTTTACGAACAGCAATGAAGGATCATCTCAAGAAGAAAAACAGGTTAGAAAATAATGGAGAGATACGAAAATCGATCGACAGATAGGTAGGTAAGTAAGGAGTATGAAAGTGAAGTTGTAGAGTAGATTAGTGATAGTAAAGCCTTTAAAAAACTTCCACTGTTTCTGCAGATGCTGCTTCTTCTTCATCTTTTGTTTTAAATTTATTTTTTCGTATATGTAACTGTAGGTGTGTTGTGTGGCTTCATTTCGACTGACTGACTTTAGTAGTGTGTGTATGGCTGCTTCTTCTATTTATTTCTCGGTGTGACTTAAAATTATCCATTGATTGAATTCGCATTGGAACTGGCTAAGGCATTTGCCGCTTCGGCTGCCTGTTGCGACAATGTCTTTTGATGATCCTCCTCGGCCGGTGATGGCGATGCATCACGTCGTGGCGGCATACGTTCATTGACCGCATCCAATCCCTTGGCTTCGGCAAATGAGGCGATTTTGTGATTTGGCGAAAAGCCTTGCATGGCGTTCGTCAGCGACTTCTTGCCACCCGACAAGGCACCCAGCGGTAGGGCGCCAGTTGGCGTTAGACCCTTAAGCTGCAACACCGATTCGGATTCTTCTCTCAAAACTGAAAAGACACGAGCCATTTTACCAATTGCCCTAATCTTATTGCGTATAACCTCTTTGCGGGCCGCAGCCTCATCATCCGAACAGGGTTCATCCTGTTCGCTCATCAACTCATCGTCGGAGCAGATGTTCAAGACGTTCATTAGCATTTCCGTGACCTTTTCGCCCACAAACGGCAACGACCAGGTGAAGACATCCATGAAGTTTGGAAGCCAATAAGGATGGGGCGAACAGTTGAACTGTCGGATATTCATGACATTGTTCTCGTATTTCAATACCGCCGCCTTGTTGTTGTACACATCCAAGTAGTTGGGCGCCGAGAAGATGGTGATGAGCGATGGAAATCCTGTGGTCTGCGATTTGCGATACATACGATAGCCGGCGTCCTGCGCCTCGTGGGCCCGTATTATCGACAGCAGATTGTTGTTCTGGAGAAAGTCACAGCAAGCCGCATAGCTATAGAAATATGAACAGCCCCTCACCGAATTGTGCGTATAGAAATCGGAATTTTTCTCGTTGCCGAAATCCTCCAGCGGATCGGACCACAGCAGATCGCACATGGGTCCGAAGGCTGGTGGCTCCTTGAAGCGATCCAAACGGCGTATATCGTCGAGTTCGTGTATCTCGGGCGACAGGCCGCCGTGGACACAAAGGAACTGTTGGTTCATGAGAGCCGCCAGCGGCAAACAATCAAATGCTTCCATACAGGCATCGTATACTCGTTCCGAGTATTTCATTTTGCACTCCTGCTTGAATGTGAAGTATTCGGTCAGATGGCGGCACTCGTGGTTGCCGCGCAACAAGAACAGGGTCGTGGGATAGGTGATCTTCAGCGACCACAGATAGAGAACACACTCAATGCTGAAATAGCCTCGATCCACATAATCGCCCAAGAACAGATACTTTGTTGTGGCCGGTGAACCGCCAATTTCGAACAGTTTCATCAGATCATAGAACTGGCCGTGAATATCGCCGCACACCGTGACCGGAGCCTCAATGTCGATCATTGTCTTTTCCTGTCGCAGTAGGGTGGCACCGTCGCGTATTATCCGCAGGGCGGCATCCTCTTCGATGCGGCCCTCCAAAATGAAATGTTGTTTGAGGACATCGTGATGGGGTTTACCGGTTCGTGGATCGAATATATCGGCTGCGGTTAGTTTGCGACTTGGCGGAAAGGGTACACTGTCGATGACGCGATCTTTGGTATTTAATGGTGGCTTTTTAATGGGACTGTCATGGACATTGTTGCCGGTGGTGCCTCCGCCTCCACCACCTCCGCTACCAGCAGCTGAGGCCGAGGCTTTGTTGGAATTTACAGCTGTTTGTTTGTCGTGTATGTTGTTGTTGCCGCCGCCGCCGCCGCTACTGGCTGCCGACGATGTGGTTTTCTGTTGCTGTTGTGTTGAGGATGGTGGATGTTGGGTGGCTGGTGAAGACATGTCGGTCGCTTGGGGTGCTGCTGTTGTGTTTTTATGACCCAAAGATGATAATGTTGATGATTATGGCGATGATGGGATTTCTTAATATATTTCGCTGCTTCTTCTTGTTCTCCTTGTACTGCGAGTGTTTGAATGTTCGTTCACAAAGGATGCCAGGCAATGGTAAATACTGTTTCTTCTTTGTTTCAAAATTTAAGGACTAGCTGTGTTGCTTATTTGGCTTGAGGGCGTGGCGGGAGGAGTTTGTAGTTGTGTTTTGTGTTTTTTTAAAGCTTTGTTTCCTTTGTTGTATCGATTCGATTTGGGGTTTTTATATCTTCTGGTTCATCTACTTGTTTTTGTTTTTTCGTAATTCGTTTTGAATTTTTTCTTTTTCGAAAATATTACTTGGATTGCCTTAAGGGGTTCTATATTCTTGTGTGTGTGTTACTCGCCCTTTAACCGCTTATCCTTGTTATAAAAAAACGGCAAAGCTTCTTCTTTTTTTCTTCTTCTTCTACACGACAATTCCTCTTCAACAAAGTTTTTTTTTCGTTTACTTCTTTTTCCCAAGGCAAAACAAGGAAAGCAAATATGATTTTCCTTGTATAATTCAATGTGTGTGTGAGTGTGTCTGTGTGTTTATTGGTGTATAGAAAATGTATTTTGCTAAGCTATACAAACGTCACAGTGACCTGTAAAGAAATGGAACAAAACAGAAAAAAACACGAATGAACTTTAAATCAAATGAATACAACATTTAATGCAATTCAAAATAATAGAAATAGTATTTTGTTTGGGGGTAATTTAAAAAAAATGGAGGTCACATTCCCCCCACCCTTTAAATAAAAATCTTGGAAATATAATCATTTAACACCGCATCGTTGGGCGCCATTTCGAATCGTCTTAAATTACTCGGGATATTTATGACCTCAAAATGCTGGTTACTTTATTTTTTATGTGAAAATATAAAAACCAATCCAACACCCCATGTTGGGCGCCATTTCGCCTCCCTCTCTCTATTATTTAAACTAAAGTTTTTTTATGACCCAACGTTGAAGAGATAAGCCTGTTAGCCATCTAGGCAATTTAATTTACATATTGATACGAGTGTGTCCGTGTGTGTGTGCGAGTATGCGGGTGTTTGAAGTACTTAGCCGTTCACTGGATATTCGTGTCAAATTTGGCTTTACTTAGTCATTATCTTCTAATTAATTGGTAAAGAAAAAAATACCAACAACAACAAAAATGTCTCCTTCGGGTGAAAGTCGTTATTGTTGAACTTTTATTTGACCGCCACTAGACAACAACAACCATTTGGCCTCTAATTACCAATGTCGTGTTTTTATTTTCGCTATAAGCCATTGCGAAAAGGGATTTATTTAAAGTAAACAAAAATGAAATAAAATACAAATATATAAAACATTTTTTTACATTTTATAGAAATATACAAATTGGGTCAAGAGGGTACTTATAGTTTTTTGTTATTGCGCAATCTATAGCAGGACTTTTTTAGGCTGAGGATGTACTTTGGGGTTCCTTTAGAAATATTTGTATAAAAAATATAAAAAAATTACAAACTTAAAAAAAAATACAAAAATCCACAGTAGGTTAAAAAAATAAAGTTAAATATAGTTTAATAAAAAAATCTTTAAAAAATGAACGCCTATAGAAAATTTGGACACTCCCGTTAAAAAATACACACACATTCTTTAAAAAATTGTATGCACTCTGAACATTTTTTAAATCCCCGAATCGGGAATCCCTTTTTTAAATTCACCCCTCCTTAAAGCCCAAAAATATACCCTAAAAAATCCACCCCTCATGAAAGCTTTGAAAAAATATTGTATAAAAAATCCACGCCCCCTGAAGGTCTTGAAGTAATATTGTTTAATAAATCCACGCCTCCTGAAGGCCTTTAAAAAAGTGTTGTTTTAAAAAATCGACGCCTCCTGAAGGCCTTTAAAAAAGTTGTTTAAAAAATCGATGCCTCCTGAAGGCCATTAAAAAGTGTTGTTTAAAAAAATCGACGCCTCCTGAAGGCCTTTATATCCACGCATCCTGAAGGCCTTGAAAAAATGTTGTTTAAAAAATCCAAGCCTCCAGAATACTTGAAAAAAAACACGCCTCCAAAATATTCGTTCTAAAATCCACGCCTCCAGAATCTTTTTAAAATCTTTTAAAAATCCAAGCCATTCCATTGGCCTGAAATTGGATTTATAAATATTGAAAATTTTGACCCTCTGTGGGGGAGGTAACAGAATGAGTGAACCAATAGGTCCCATCTTCGTACTTGATCTAGGCTTGGTAAAGATAATAGATTTTTTTAGCACAATGTTAACCATTTTGTGGGGGAGGTACCAAAAGGAGTGGTCCCATCTTCACTTGATCTTGGATTTGCAAAGATAATAGGTTGTACAAACTTTGGTTAAAATCGGACATTCCATTAGAGTAATATTGGATTTATAAATATTGAAAATGTTGACCCTCTGTGGGGGAGGTACCAGAAGGAGTGGACCAATGGGTCCCATCTTCAAACTTTTTTCAGGCATGGTAAACGTAATGGTTCTTCAGAATACATTCTTAAAAATTCTGGCTTATTGGTCTCTCAGAAAATCTTCTTTACAAAATCCATCTTCAGCTCTGGTTCATCAGAAATCAGTGCTATATTTCCGCCCTCTAGTGTGGTAATGGGTTACTAAATAATATATGAATACGTAAGCACCTGTAAACATTTAAGTGTAACTCCCACATCCGAGTACATACGACAATATAATTGGTATCGATTTAGAGGTCAACCACTCCTCTTGGATATACTATCAACATCTTGGCTCTATGTCCTTCGGGAGTAAATATATACGCTATAGAATACAAATTTTGTAATTTTTCACACAAAAGTAAGGGTCAATTTGACCCGCTAAATATTGATCCAAACAGGCATGCTTATTCTTTGGCCCAATCCCCTTCTCCATGTGAAAATTCGCGATGTTCGGGTCATAATTCGTCCTCTGGAGCGATCAGAAAAACCGACAAAAAATCATCCCCTAAATATGAACCGATCTTTACCAATAGGGGTCTTCATTAGGCAGAACCCATCCTACATGCAAAATTTCGTGAAGATTGGTCCATAATTGTGGCATGTATCGTGTTTACAAATTATAATGGACACACGGACGGACGGACACACATGTCTACATCGACTCAGCTAGTCGAGATATGACGATCGGTATACTTAAAGGTGGGACTAGGACCAATATTTCGCGGCGTTACAAACTTTTGGGGCTGCTATAATACCCTGACAACATAGTTGTGTAGGATATAAAAATCCAATGGACAAACTAAATTGCCACAGAATAAAATATATAGGCAATAGTATATAGAAATATATGTGGGTCCCTTTACCTGCTATAAGGTGGACACAGTTGCGACATGTTAAGATTTTCTGAAAAAAAATATATATATTTTCTCTTGGATCAAAATTGAGAAATTCTACAAATCCAGAAAAAATGTTAAAATTCACCCTGAGTTCTGGTTCTTCAGAAAATATCCTTAAAATCCCATGCTCAATTCTGATTCATGCAAAAATATTTTTTTTATAAAATCACGTTCATTGGTCATTCAGAAAATCTTAACATGTGAGTGCTTTAAACCCTCACAATTTTTGGTCGACAGTTCCTCCGAAAATTTTCTTTAAACACTCACAATTTTTGGTCGACAGTCCCTTCGAAAATATTATTTAAAAGTTCACGCTTATTGGTCGGATAGTCCCTCCGAAAATATTCTTTAAAAATCCACGCTTATTGATCGGATAGTCCCTCTGAAAATATTCTTTAAAAATCCACGCTTATTGGTCGGATAGTCCCTCCGAAAATATTTTTTAAAAATCCACGCTGATTGGTCGGATGGTGGTTCCGAAAATATTCTTTAAAAATGTCACGCTTATTGGTCGGATGGTGGCTCCGAAAATATTCTTTAAAAATCCACGCTTATTGGTTGGATAGACCCTTCGAAAATATTCGCTAAAAATCCACGCTTATTGGATAGTCCCTCCGAAAATCCACGCTTATTGGTCGGATAGTCCCCCTGGAAATATTCTTCAAAAATCCAGGCTTATTGGTCGGACAGTCTCTCCGAAAATATTCTTTACATACTCATGCTTATTGGCCCGATGGTGGCTCCCAAAATATTTTTAAAAAATCCACGCTTACTGGCCGGATAGTGGCTCCGAAATTAATTAAATATCCACGTTTATTGGTCGGATAGTCCCTCCGCAAATATTTTTTTAAAAATTCACGCTTATTGGCCGGATGGTGGCTCCGAAAATATTCTTTAAAAATCCAAGCTTATTGGTCGGACAATCCCTCCGAAAATATTCTTTAAAAATTCAAATATTTTTTCAAAATTCAAGCTTATTGGCCGGATGTTGCCTTCTAAAATATTCATTAAAAATCCACACTTGTTGGTCGGATAGTTCCGCAGAAAATATCCTTTAAAAATCCACGCTTCCATATAATATTGCCTATATATTTAATTCTGTGACAATTTAGTTTGCCAATTTTGTCAATATTCTATTATTCCAAGGGTCAATTTATTTCGTTGAATATATTTTTTTTCTTCATAGACCTTTAATCCTTTATATTTTTTTTTTCAAAACAATTGTTGTAATTTACAAATGAAAATTATTAAATATTTCCAATTGAAAAAACCCACACATATGGTTATAGAATTTTGCGTTGATTGAGTTGTTGTTGTTATTGTTTTGTAATTATAGCATAGATTTCGAAATTGCACTGCGTTCCTTTATGAATTCAATTGAATAGCTGAGCTGCGCTTCGCTGCTGCTTTGGCATTGTCACACAGGGATAATTAATTAATTAATTAAAAATAGACACGATTAGTTTTATTAATCGCAGAGATTAAAGCAAATAAATAAATGAATAACAACAATGACGTTTACAATTACCATTAAACGGATTAAAAATGTCAATAGAAAAAAAATCGACAAAGATTTGTAATCAGTT